GGGAGCCCAGGATTGAAACTTGCCAGGGTGAGTAGTTGACAAATACACAGCTGTCCCTTAGTTCCTTTAATCAAGCTGGAATGCTTATGAGGCAAGAACTTGAAAAATTTTAAGACTTTCTCCAGGTGAATTCACAATAAAACCAACTGAGATTAACTCTGAGGGTTGTGGCCAGCTACAAAAATGGAAGAAAAAGCTTAAAAGGCTTGGTGGTTTTCCTTGGTGATAAAATGATGTACCTTATTTTTTTATATGATAAAATACTTATTTAAAATATTGAAAGCCTTATGCTTTAAGTTAAGTTAAAAAAAATCTTCAAAGTACCATATCTTATCTCAAATAAAACTTGTTAATTTTTTTTTTTTTTTTTGAGACAAAGTCTCCTTATATAGTTCAGGCTGGCCTTGAACTCACTATGTAGCCCAGGCTGACCTCAAACTCATGCTGATCCTCCTACCTCAGCCTCCTAAGTGCTGGATTACAGGTGTGCACCACCATATCTGGTAACACTTGTTGCTTTTGTAATTCTTTTTTTTTCGGTACTGGGGATTGAACTCAGGACTTTGTCCATACAAGTCAGGCACTTACGCTGCTGAGCTGTCTCCCCAGCCCAACATTTGTTATTTATGGAAAACTGAAGCTAATATTTGTCATGGACTGATATGAGGTACCTGGGACATTAAATCCATTTGTCACTGAACAATATAGTTATTATTATTTTACTTTTACACATAATAAAATCAGGACTTAAAGATGTCTACCTACTTTCTTAGACTTCAGATTACCTAGGAGAAACCAGAATTTGTTGCGTAGCACTTTTAGATTCTTTGAGGTCTTAGAATTTCTCCTGATTTCAATATGGCCAACCAACACTGTGAGTAACTGATGTAAAATACCTGGTGTTTCCAATTAATGCTAATTTATCAATAAATCTTCTCAGTTCTCTTACATTTATCATCAGATCACTCATTCCCTTCTGCTGTCATGTCACAGATGGAGTCCGGTGCACCATTATCTATCTCTCGCTGACCCCTGCCTGGGTTTCTAAGTACTTTTTGTCTCTACTCTTGTTCACCTGTCTTTATCCTCTGAGCAACTAGAATGACCTTCCATAAATAAGGCAAGGTATGTCTCTCTTCTGTTCAGAAATCTCTGCTGAATCCCTCCTGTAACTAGAGTAAAATTAGGATGCTTTTGCCATGCCTGTAAGACCTTCCACCATCTGCACAGCCCTGCTATTATCTCTCCTATACTCTGCCTTATTCTCCCACAGACATCTGATGATTTCTAGAGAAGAGCAATCTCTTTCTTGTTTTTGCCTTCACTGTAGTCTCCCCTAGCTCTGTATATGGCTGGATTCTTGCTCTTCAGGTCTTGGTGCACAGGCCAGTTCCCCAGGTAAGGACTTCCCTGAATACTCTGCTTAAAGCAGCTTCCTCCATTTCGTTCCCTGCCTCATGGCACCTGTTTTGAGACATCCATGACACTAGTTGCAAGCCGTCATTCTCTGATTTATTTGCCTCCTCTCCTCTCTTGTCCCTGCTCCTTACCCTGTGCAGTGTGTGAGCTACTTGAGGAGCTTCAACTTTGACTGTCCCATTGTTCTTGCTTATCTCCATACCCGACATCTGGCAGGTAGTCATTACACCTTCAAGGAACAGATTAATCCACATCTGGATGCTTTTTGTGCTTCATGCACCCCATCATCTCAAGTTACAAAGTCTATTCAATAACCCTCCATCTTTTCAGTAATATAGTAGGCAAACATATTGGAGCTGGATTTCAGGACTCTGGTCTCTGCTCACATGTCCACTGTGAATTTGCTGAGTGACTTGAGCAAGTCATCATGCCTCTGTGGTCTTCAGATTCCTCTTCTGGGAATGTTGCCTAAATCCTACTCCCTATACCCCTGAATTCTAATTGTTTCTAGTTTCTCTCCAGCTACCCCCCACCCCAGCAAGCTTCACAGAGGTAGTTTGGCTTGAACCAAGCCATCGGCATGGGAATGTATCCTGTTATGTAGATGGGCCCTGTGGTCACAAAGGAGTGTGCCGTGTCATAATGTGTGGGTACAGGTAGCATTCCCTGGGTAGGCGTTGGGCTTTACTGGTGGCAGCCACTGTGTTGGCTGGGGAACTGTTTGTCTTTTGTATCACCTGAGACAGGTTTTTCATCAAACTCTGAGGACAGACCAGCACTCATTAGTGTATAGCAACCTTAGCTTCTCTATCCTGTCACTGCAGAAGTGGGACTTACTCATCAGCATTCCTGGTTGAACATGGTGAAGAGAGGTCAGACGTAGGGCCTGGATCTGGGCTGGATTTGGTCTGTGACAGCAGTGCCTAGTTAGCTTCCTGTCCTGTTTCCACCTGGAAGAAGCTGCTTTCTTTTACAAGGTCAACATGGGATGGAGAAGAAAAATAAAACACAAGATATTCTCTGTGCTAGATGTTCTAATACAAGGTATCACTGAATACCATGGACCCTTATATTCACATTGTTTCTATTTTCCAAATGGGGAAGTTGAGGCAGGCAGAAAGATTAATCAATTTACCTGAAGTCCCAATATTAGGAAATAGCAAAGTTCAAGGGTGCTCACTTTAAAATGTTCATTTTCCCTCATGTCAGGGGCCAGGTTCTAGTGAAATAGGGAACCTTGGATTCCACAGAAAGCAATTTTCAGGGATTGTTTGAAAAGCCAATGTGGTGGGTAGAGTATCCTAGAGATTAGATTTGGCAAACGATTTCCCAACAATTGAACTTTGTAACTTAAAAAACAAAGTGAAGCAAATTACATTAGATATCAATATAAAGAAATGAATATAGAGAAAAATACTCTACTTAAAAAGTTAACCAAAATATTGGGATAAATTTTAAGGTAATGGAAACATTCTCTGTTACCCTTATTGATATAGCTTTTGGGTATTTCAAGAAAACTAAAAATTTCTCAAGCCAGCAATTTAAACTTCTAGAAGGTTTCTTCAAACCAGCAAGAGGGGACATTTGACCATATTTGTGGAGTGCCAATGTTGGGCCAGGCCCTACCAGTCACTGGAAATGACACAGCGCTTGCACTGGCAGATCAAGATGAGGTCAGGGACAGGCGAGTAAGTGAGCAATTTAACATTCCGGGGCTCGTGCTGTGACAGAGCCAGGAACAGGAGCCTTGTGGGGTAGGAGAGAGAGGTTTCAGCAGAAAAGGTGAATTTTGTGATGTGGCTTGAAGAACACACCAGAAAAAAGGAAAAGTGTTGGAAGATCAGTGTAGCCCAAGTCACCAAAGCACAGGACAGGTGAGGTGTCTGGGGAAGTAGGGAGGGTGGCTTGTGAAGGTGACTGTCGCCTAACTGTGAGGGTTCTTCTATGCTAGACTTGGGCACAGACTGGAAGAAGTTGCTCTAGTAGTCTAGGCAAGACTGGAGTAGTCTTGAACTCAGGCAATGGCAGTTTGGGAGAAGAAAGGTTAGATCTTAAGCAGCTAAGGAAATCTATTGCTCGTTGATTTGTTGTGTTAAGATGGTCTGATGCATAAAGGAGATGCTCACACTATGAATGAAAGCTGAGGAAGACAGATGGATCATGTGAGGCACATGTTAGACATTCTATAGAGACACACACTCACATATACAAGGTATGTAACTTTTATGATAAATCATACATCTGAGAATTTTAAGTTAAAATATTTACTTTCATAACAGAAAGTGAATGCAAATTATGGCAATTTTAAAGCATCTAATGCTTTGTGTATTATGATGACAAATTGTTCTTTTCAAATAATTCATATTTAGTAACAAAGTTTTCTGCTTGATTGCTTATTATTTTGTTGTACTATTATAGATATTGTACTTGATCTTAGCATGGAATTTTCTGTTCCATGTCATTAAATAAATTCTCAGGAATATAATTTACTTCATCCCTCAGAGGATAGAAGAAATTCAGTAGTTTTAAAGCATATGGTTGTTTTTTAGGAAATTAGAGAAATAGAAGACACTTTGTTGTATTTTTCCCTCACTAATAAGGCAGATTTCTTTTTCTGGGAAGGATGATGTTGAAGCTAGGATATGCTTATGGTGACAAAGGTGGGCTGCACATTAAAACTCATGCATCTTTGTTCTTAGGGCTAGAGAACTGTCTGCTCAATCTGAATGAGACTATCCCTCCTTCATCTTTCTTCTGGCATCTTGTTTTCATCTTTCACTGTATTTATTACATTGATACATTTCATATTTGTGGAAGATTGAATGAGGCTGAAAATTCTTTCTTCCACCAGGAAGACATGGAGTTTGTATACATTTCTCTTGGGTCTGGGCAAACTCTGTTACTGCCAGACCAATAGAATATGGCAGAAATTGTAATGTAAGGGTTTCCAGACTCAGACCTTAATAAACTTGTGGTTCCTGCTTTTTATCTCTTGATAGATTCTGGAGCCCTGAGCCTCTATAAAAGAATCCTGATTACCTTGACTCCATCGTATTAGAGTCTCTAAGGAGACATTCTGGTCAGCTGTCCTCATGACCTGTCTTCAGGCCCTTCCTGCCAAGGCACATGATGTGATGGTAAACATCATATCTGCTAGTTGCATGTTTTCACATGACCTCTGGCATTACCACGTGGGACAGAACTGTTTGGCTGAACTTGGCCTGAATTGGTGGGTCCCAAAATTGTGAGATGGAAGAAAATGGCTGATGCTTTAAGCATTATGTTTTACAGTGGTTTTAATGAAGCAATGGCTGGCTGGCATAATTGTCATTAATGTTTATTATTACTATTCATTTTCTCCGTTAGACCATAAACACCATGGGGACAACTTACTACTGTGTACTCAAAATACTTGCCTAGTCTTGGTGCATAGCAGGTTATTCAAGGAACAAATGAGAAATAAGTGTTTAAATTTGGATGGAGCAGAGTTGGCCAAAACTAACTGTGGATCCTTTTCTTAGACTCCTTTGGTTTCCTCTGATGTTTGTATTCTTTTTTTTTTTTTTTCGGAACCAGGGATTGAACTCAGGCCCTTGCTCTTGCCAGGGAAGTGCTTATTCCCCTGAGCCATCTCCCTGGCCCTGATGATGTTTGCATTCTGATTCTAACATTCATCTGTTTATTTGCCTGTGACCACCTGAGCCTAAGGATGCTATTTGTTTCAACTCAGGGATATATGTTTTTCTAGAACACACCACATGCTCAGTTTTCTTTAAAAGGTGATGGCAAAAGGGTGAGCATAATCTGAGTCTGGACTTAATTAAAAAGTTATATATCTGTCTATCTATCTAATAGTCTCTATCAATTATCAATCAGTTTTGACTTAGATGCAAAACTTGAAGAGTAACTAATTCTTGGGCCAATCAACATTGTATGCATCATGTACATTTACAGAAGAGCAGGTTTCTGGGGGAAAGATCAGTTCCTTGCCTGATTTCTTAAAAGCAACATTTTTGCTTTCTCAGTGTTAAATCATAAACAGCAGTGAGACATTCACACAGAGTAGGATGACTGTAATGAGTGTTCGTCTTTTCAATATGCAACTCTATCAGTGCCATTGATTCTAATTAACATTATGCGAATTATTTCTTTGTTTGGTTCTAATTTCATTTTCTACATTGGAGCCTACGATAAACACTTCATGACTTTTTAATCTTTTATTTACTTATTTGGTGCAGTGTCTCGCTACACAGCCACACAGCATGTGGTACCGGGGATCAAACCAAGGTCCTTGGGCTTGTCAGGCAGGTGCTGAGACAGCTGAGCTATCTCCCCAGCTAACACTTGTTGACTTTTGAAGGATCTTTATTTTCTTCTTTTTTATTTTACAGAGAAAAACACTAACAACAATGGTACAAAATTTCAAACCAAGATAGAAGGAGAATAAAATGGTTAGTACATTGCTTATTGTCATCTTTGAAGTAGTTATTCAGATTATAAAATATAGGCATGAAAAAATTGATCAAATGATATAAGTACAAATCTTTCTTT